AGCGCTATGTAGGTCCTGGTCCTGACCCCAATGGCAATCGAGAATTGAGCGTCTCGATCGGGTGAAATTGCTCGTTGCCGTCTGTCGATCTGCCCAGGCCTCTAGCCGATTCGACCCTCTTTGCCGGTTAAATTTGCCTTCTTTGAGTCGACCGCCTCGGGCCCTCTCGTCTTGCTTTTGAGCTCATGCAACAGCAAGGGGAATGTCTTGATTGCTCCACTAGCAAGGAGAGCATGATTGAAGGTCGCTGTACTGTACTCATCAAGCAGACCAGACTGCGTGACGACGTCTTTGCGGGACGTGCTAAGCATTGTGAGGATTTGTGATTAAGCGCACGGCGTCTGGCCGTTAGTTCACAGCATCCGAGTCTGGAACGCGAGGGATGACGGAACAAAATTCGAAACGTCGATCGATTTCTGATTTGAGGGGCCCTGCTTGAAGCCCTACGTGCGGCGGGCGCTGCAAGCTGCTGCAACAGTGTGACTGAGGAGCAACACCGACGCGCAGGGGAATAAACGCCAGCCGGGCCTCTTCATATATGCGCGCTTCCCTTTGCCTGCTTCATTCGTCCCTATAATGCAATCGTGAATTACAACGCATTGCATGCATGAGTCAAGTGCCCTGATTCAGATTCAGGCAGCAGGCATGCATGCAGGTGGTGTAAGCCCCCCAGCCGGTGCTGTGGCTGGACTAGCTGTGTGCATCATGCATGCAGCATCCGCGCAGATCAATTGGAAGCGGCCACTTCCCTGAGACGCCGCGCGTCAAACCCTGAATCGATGAAGATCGATGTCTGAACCAAACTTTTCGCCGCGAAACGCATCTCATGCCCAGGCAGAGCTCATTGCCGTCTTTCACGCTGTGACCTCAAGTCTAACTTCACTCGGCGCGCGTAGCGAGGTCAGTCCATTCACTTCAATTCAAATCAATTTGATGGCCGCAGGCGCCACGAAAGCGCGCAAATACGTCCGTGATCCTGTGTGCTTGATCTAGGGGTGCATGAAACACCCTCGATTTGGTCGTTCCAACTCGGCTTGCGGGAGCAACGGTCTGCGTCACGTCTGACCCACCCCGCTTTCCCTCCTGCTACGGGTCATCTACCCTTGACGATCTGCTTGCCGATTCGAGGTCGGGCCGTGTGCAAGCTGCTCAGGCCCTCCACGCTGAGTGACTGCAGCAAAGGAGCTTCTGCGCCTTGTCGATCTGAAAATTTTGAAGGTGCAATATGAAGCGGCCCTTGCTAAGTGGTTCCATCGAGACGTCAGGCAGCCTCATCACCCTTCACGGCGAGAGCTGACTACGTTCGGCACGAGGATGAGGATTTACTGGGCACCATGTCCACGGAGCACTTGGGGTACCGAGACTTCAGCTCTTTTGTATAAGAAGCGCACGACCTCCTAACTTTCGAAGCAGAAGTCTCCCTTCACCAGCAACCCGATCCGCAACATCACCAACCCCCTACCCCATACACACACTCATTCTCGACTGGCCTAGCTCGTCAAGCAACACTCCCTCTTCTGACTCATCATCCAATACACCCCTTCACACACTCTCACACAAGTATTCACAGCTTCGCGCACTCACCACTCAAGATGTTCTCCACGAAGACTATTTTGTTCGCCATTGTGGCCGCCGCAGCTGCGATCAATGTCTCCGCTGCGCCCATCGCTCGTCGATCGAGCGGCCGCGCAACCTACTACGCCGTCGGCCTGGGCGCTTGCGGCTGGACCAACAGCGGCAACGAGAATGTCGTTGCGCTCAACACCAACATGTATGGCTTCACCGGTGCCAAGAGCCAGTACTGTGGTCGTCAAATCGAGATCCACTACAACGGCAACACTCAGCGCGCTACCATCGTCGATGCCTGCCCAAGTTGCCCTAACAGCGGTGACCTCGACATGAGTCGCAACCTTTTCTCCTCTTTGACCAACGGCAACCTCGGCCTCGGTCAATTCCAAATGTCGTGGAACTTTGTTGGCCAAGGCTCCTCCGACTCTAGCAACAGCAACGACAACAACTCTGGCAACAACCGCCAAGCTCAGCAGTCGCAGTCATCTTCTGCTCAGCGAACTTCCTCTACCCACTCTGAGACTCCCAGCCCTAGCTCCACCACTTCGTCTGCATCTGCTCCCTCGACCACTGCCAATGTCAATGACTCTGACCTTGCTGGCGGCGCCATCAGCGGCAAGAACGTTACCAGCGTTCCTCAATGGTGGGCAGAAGTCGGCAACGCTGGCTGCCCAGATGCCAAGGTTGGCAAGAACCAGGTTGCTGTCGCTGTGGGCCCCTCTGAGCTCGTTAGCAACGACGATCTCGCTTCCGCTTGCGGCAAGGAACTCGTGATCGTCAACAATGCCAACAAGATGAACGTCTCCGCCGTCGTGACCACCTTCATGCCCGCCTCCGAGCCCAACACCATCATCCTCGCGGACGGCTACAAGGCCCTGGCCAACGTCACCGCCAACGAGGTTCCTCCCTCCATTGCTAACGTCACGTTTGGATGGGCAGCCAACTCTACCAAGGCTGACAACTAAGCAGTGATAGCCCCTGAATTCGAGCTATCCATTCTCCGACACGGCTGCTTCCGAACAAGGACACGCGCTCGATACACGAGTCGCACCACCGAGTCGAGTACTGGCGTACCACTCATTGTATCATTTCGTCTCCTCCATTCTCGCGTTCTGTCTCTGCCGTCACATCTGGCTTCTGGTCGCATTGTGCAGGTTCGTGCCCTTGCTTCCGGCCATCCGTGAGCCCTCCATCCCCGCTCCCAACGAGCCTGGGTTGTTGGCTTGGTCTACTCCCGTCTCCATAGGTACGCAAGTTTAATCACAGCCCGACCTCAAATTTCACTCCATCTCTCGCGTTTGCGCTATCTGGAACACACCATCCTATGCGCGGCCCTCGTGCCGCAGCCTTCGCTTTCCGTCACCTTCTCACTCACTCCACTCATAGACCTATACGCTTCGATACGTCATTCGAATACTTTGACTAAGCACTGTGTTGATGGCTGAGCGCGTCTTTTTGGGGTGTGTAGGCCTCCATGCTGGGTGCAGGTCGAGCGTCGGATGTCGAGAGATCCATGGCGAGCAGACGTCTGGCCTCTTGAGCACTAGCGAGCGCTGTTCCGAGGTGATGCGGAGATTGCGATCAATGAACAATCTGGTGGAACCCGTCCATTTTGAAGCTGCATATCAACGCTTGAAGAGCACTTGCGACTGCCCATAAACAGCACGTGAAGTGAGTTGGACGTGCCGGGTGAGTGAGTCGAGTCAGACCTTGGGTTCTGGATGAGTTGGACGTTCATTAGCAAAACGTTCTCGAAATCCTTGATCGGCGATGGCTCAATCGCGCGTCGCGGATGCGGAATCTGACGCGTGATTGATCCGTGTTCGTGATCATTCGGGCCACGACGCGCGCGCAGTAAGCGGTCGACGCTTCGTCCTCCGCACGTTCGTACCCGCCAAAATCGCGTTGCATCCTCGACCTCGAGGCTGGCGGGGCTCTTCAAGACGTGTGTTTCACACCTTGCAGAAGGTTTTGCACTTTCATGCGGGCTTCGCCCGGCCTTTTTTGTAGATACAAGACGAACCAACCACTTCGAAGGTCACATTGAACTTGGTCAGTACGCCGGGCGAACGACGATAGTCGCCGCATGTTTGTACCTAACGAACCTAGGTCTGAAGGCTCGAGCTGTGGTATGGCCAGAGCACGTAGCGTGTCGGCAACGCAGACCCTCTCTTCCGTCTTCAAATGGACCGAGAGCCAAGGGCCGGCGTTCGAGGTTGTTTGTTTGTTATTCTCCACACTGCCATGGTGCACGATTCGAGCAAACATGGAGCTGCATTAGCTTGGACCCGAGTGACTGGTGAAAGGTCGGGCTTGCAGCGCAGTATCAAGCTTCCGACACCTTCCATGCGCAGCCCTCTCACACACACCGTTTGTCACCACCGTAAGCGGATCCCTAGTCAGGCCTGCACTCCAAAGGCAGTCGCACGACCAGCGCTTGACAGCCGCAGTGTGGGCGATGCGGGCTTTGAGCAAGTTTATGGGCAGTGCATGGCCTGTGTCAATTACAGAACCATCATCGAGAATCGTGCATTCCACGCCTTGCTGTTCCCGGCTTTCAAACGCTTTTACGGTACGGTAGCGTAAAGAGGGAATCAAATCGTGAATGGGACGAGCGGAAGAGCGCAAGCAGGCAGACAAGACGCTCGATGCGGTGGCTGATTGTTTGCTGCAGCTCGGAGCTAGGGTGGTGCATTGTCGATCATATTGGAATTTGGGCCTCGGCATGGTCAT